GACGAGGACATACCTCCGCCCACACCCAAGTCTGCAGAAGCGAAGGGTAGAATGCTTTACGCCTATCAAGAGAATGGAGAGGGCGAATTGACTGTTGCAGATGGTACGGATGTTACCATTGTTGAACCCGATGGTATGTAGTTGACGCTTCTCATATCTCAGGTCTCTTTCGTCACTTTGCTAACATTCTGCCACAGATGGTTCTGGATGGATGAAAGTCCGTGCTGGCTTCAAAGAGGGTCTTGTTCCAGCAGCGTATGTCGAGATGACGGTCGCGACACCACCTACCACTGCTTCTACATTCTCATCAGCAAGACCTGACTCTACGTACTCTGCATCGTCGGCATCGACCACCAACTTTGCCGCGGCTGCCGCTCCCGGTAAGAAGAAGGGACCCGCCGTTGCGCCGAAGCGTGGCGCGAAGAAGTTGAAGTACGTCGAAGCATTGTATGACTACACTGCGCAAAGCGACGCAGAACATTCCATGTCAGAAGGAGATCGCTTTGTTCTCATCAACATGGAGGCTGGTGACGGCTGGGCAGATGTCGAGAAAGACGGCGTAGTACGCAGTGTACCAGCCAACTATGTTCAGCAAGTCTAGATCACTTGTCTAGCAGCAGTTCGCGAGATGAGCTTCTTCTGATTGATTAGTTCGTTGTCTACAGCGTAGGAGTGTTGGAGAAGAGCTACCTGCATGGAGTATCGCTAAAGTATCTGTACATACTTGAAGGCATTATTGTTACCAAGTCTGTTTGTATGCATCTATAACTTGTGCAGTTGTCGCAGTCACAAAACATGTCGGTCACGCTGTGGCACTACGAGCCCCTGCATCTCGGGACGAACATGTGGGCCCTGATTATTAGCGCAAAGCCTTTCCATCTCGTCACGTCGCTTCCTTCATCTTTCCCCCATCAACCTCACCATCACGTCTCGTCGCATGAGTCTCGCGTTCTACTAGAGGGTCCCATGATCATATTATACCTGATGTGGCCCGCTGCGCCAAAACCCGTAACACACGACAACAGGGCTGCATAGAACACGAGCTTCGGGTGACCAGCGCGCTGCTACGTCGCTTACAACATGGCTGCTGAGTCGTCCTATGAACCTAGAGTACTGACACTCACCGATAGTGACCAACTGCTGAATTCTGTCGAAAGAGAAGACAAAGCAGGTTACGTATGCGCCGACACGCAGACATTGGGCTTTCACCTTGTTCACACACAGTGATTCTCGAAGTCTCCCATTGCACGGCCAAATTGCGCAAATCACCGTGATGATATACGTATTCTGTATACATTCTATGCGACAGTAACATCGGGGTAACGTCACCGCGCATACCAAGACCCCAGGGCAAGCCAGCGCCTATTAAGACGGAGCACCGCACTACTGTCAGAACTGGCTTGAGCCATTCTTAGTACAGTCCGACCATTTGACTATCTCTCGGCTTCGACGCACGTTCAGCTTCTTCTCCGCGTCACTCGTGTCTTCTCGCAGATTGCGGGCGCGTCCGGCTCTTCCAAGTCTAACCAAAACTTCGATGTCGCACTGCATATTGACAGGAATTACCACTCTGAGCATGTACCAATGCCATGCGCAGATCAGCATGTCCTCAGGAACCCGGTGCTTCTCAGTCAATCAGCGCTTTAGCACTGGAGACACCACGTATCTCCCATTTGCTCTCGGCGTACTTTACGTCTGGACGCATGGCAAATTGGCAGCGAAGGCGCACTCTTGTCCCTTCGGTACACGTACGTATGTGGTACAGACTGATAGCCTGCTCAGATAATACCCAGCTACCTATGCCACGCAGCTCGTTCACTAGCCCGAAAGGTCATATGAGCGAGCCTCCTTTGAGAATGGTAATCTATCTTTTGATTGTCGTCTCCGCCGTTTACGCTATTGAATCGATTGCCATATTCACATTCACTCTTTTCAACGCTCTCCTCCACAGCGAAGATATCTAAGCGGTGTATGCACTCTCTTCGCCATACCACACACTCTTTCCTGTTTCAGCGATCGATCCTGGTCTATTTGCCGAAGAGCTCCAGAACGCAGTAGGCGCATACCTAACTCATTGCTCCTTCTTGCCCAAACGGAGCAGCCACGCTAGTGAGACCCTGTCTTGGCGCCACGATACAAACAATACTCACCTCACCTTCGCTCTTGTGTCTTCCCACTACGCTCGTTTCCTATAAGTCAGAACCGACTCAGTCGCCTTCACGCTTCACCGGTCATTCTTTCGTGTCTTCACCCGGAGTTTCATCTCCATTTCGCTCCTTAGGCACTGCCAGTATCCTTCTCTGCTACTTCCCCGCGTACTTCACAACAACAGAAAAGCCGACAAAGTCGAAAGCAGTACCGCGACACCGATCGTTCTGTCAAGAACTTGGAGGAAGTAACTGATTAAAGGGAAGAAACGGTCAGTCGCTCTGCGTCACACTACTTACTGCCGCATTGGCTAACGTCCGAAGAAGTTATTAGCGACTTCCACAAAAGTGTTGCAAGCCCTAGCCTACCATGAAGATTGGCCACATAGTTACCGCCACAGCGCTTGCTGTAATCACTGCAGCTAAGCCGCACCACATGCACCGCCACGCTCATGCTCACGATCCGGTCAAGCGCGGTACCATGTTCACGCCTGCAGCAACCGAGACTCATATCGTATACTGGCTTGATGATCATTCAATCACGGAAGAAGAGGCCCGTGAGGGTATCGCTAACGGCACTCTGAAGTGGGGCAATGATGGTGTCCTTTCGACATCGACTAGTAGTCCTATCGCATTGCCTACTCTACCTCCAGCTGCCGATCCGTCACCAGAACCCACTCCTAAGAAGGCTGCTGAACAACCCGAGCCTGTTGCGCCCGAACCTCAGAAGCCCGCGCCAACACCCGAAATGCCCCCAAGCGACCCTACACCTAGTCCCTCCCAGGATACGACACCTGTTCAACAAACCGGCACTCCGCGTCCCTGGATAGACATGGTGGACAAGGATGGTCACTGTGCCGAGTGCGATAAAGAATTCCCGGACGGCAAGATACGTTGCACGGAGTTCCCTCACGGATATGGCGCTTTACCTATCGCCCATGAGGGACTGGGAGGCTGGTCCGGTATCCAAGATCCCCAGTATTCCGGAGGGGATGGTTTCGATGACATTACAACCGTTCCGAAAGGTTCATGTTCGGATGGTACCTGCTGCACGTCTGGTAGCTTCTGTTCCTATGGCTGCCCGAACCCTTACCTCAAGGCTTCGTTCCCCTCGATTCAAGGTAGGACGGGCCAGAGTGTTGGCGGCCTGTACTGCAACGAAGATGGATTTCTGGAGATGGCCGACGGCAAGATTGCGAATACCCTTTGCGTTCAGGGCTCAAAACAGATGGGCGTGAAAGTGCAGAACAAACTCTCAAAGTCTGTCTCTTTCTGTCGTACAGACTATCCCGGTATGGTATACACCCACGCTCCCAACGCACTTGCTCACACGTGGCAGGTACCGAGTCCATGACTTTTCCAGTTACCGTCGGTCCTGGTGAGACCGGTTTCCTAGCAAATCCCGATCAACAGAAGTACTTCTTTTGGCAAGGCAAGAAAACTTCAGCTCAGTACTACGTCAACAAGCAGGGCGTGCCTGAAGACGAGGCTTGTACGTGGGGTACAGAGATGGGAGGCAAGGGCAATTGGGCGCCAGCGGTCTTTGGAACATCTTTCGATGACGGTCCAATGCAGGAAGGTTTCTCCAGCCTGAAACAAAACGAGCTATGCAAGAAGGAGCGACTTGGCTACGACATCACCTTCATTGGCGATGGCGTTGTGTCTCCTTGCCGGTACAAGACCGCCACAAACCAGTGGTGTCAGGCTGACAAGTGCTGGGAAGACCCCGATCGCGGCTGCACTGTATGTCGCTCTACTGTCCTTCCGCAAAGCCAGGCAATCGCTAACTTAAACAGGCTGCTATTATGCATGGCGATCTCACTGTTGTACTATCGGACGGCTAGCACACCCGGCCTTAGTGCAGCGTCAAACGCATGTACCCCACTGTCTTGTCACTTTCCTTGGTCTGTCTCTATTAGATCCTCGGCTCTCACGACACTGTTCTCACTATTTCCCACTTCCACGTCAGCCTATTTCAGCAGGCTCATGTATTCCTGGTCAATACTTTCACAATGTCGAAGGCCCGGCGGACTGCGGCAACGATCTCGACGGAGCTTTTGGAGGAGGTTTCGGATTTCTTGAACGGATTACCAATTACCTTTCTTCGGATATGTACACATTTTCTCTTCTGTTAGCAATAATATCGAGATCTTTATGGGCGGTGATCCACGTGCTGGTCGTGATGCATAGTCTTTTTGGACTTCTAGGTCGAGAAGGGCTCTTCGCTCGTTGAAGCCAATGGCCGATTGACACTCTGCGCGATTGCAAGAGAAGTAACACACACGAATCAAACAATATTCAGGCAGTAACTCATAAAGCGTGAACATCGATTCACTATGCTATCGTACGGCAACGAAGTCTCCATCAGCTCAATGCCGGGGTATCGTCTCAGTACACCAATCGGTGAAACAACAAAAAATGCAAAGTGCAATCCTCCGTGAGCCAAACAGTCAACTCTGATGATGCTGCTAAAACACAATTTCCCCCTCCCATGACGATGCAACGGTAAACGATCCACCTGTCACACTATTGACGGCGACGAACGTGTATGAGATGAAGGTGAATTAGACTGAATGGAGATGTAACGCATAGCGGGCGTGAGGGCGGGCTGATCGATGTGCCGAAGGATGGCGGGTTGTAATAGGCTGCGTTGCCATACCTGCCATTCGTAGCGCACCTTGACGCATACAAGCTGATGATGTTGACGCACATCAGTACAACGTGTCTATAGTTCCGCGCAAGTGCTCGTCGCTGTAATGCTAGGTAAGACAATCGAAAGATCTTTGTGGAGAGCGGTAGACGCTCCGAGAGCTGCGTCACTCAATTCAAAGGAGCGCCAGATACCCAACTGCCTCAACTCGGGCCGGGATTGAAGCTGAGGAAGTCGGTCGGGTCGTTCATATTGAGGGCCAGACTCGGGTCGAAACCGAGAAAAGAGCCATGCTCTGCAGTCGTCGTCGGTGTTGGGTCCTCCAGAGGTTCACCGGTATGACCGCCGTGTGTAAGACAGCCGACGCATGCGCAGCCATCTCCACATTGACAGGTACCAGACGCGTCTGAACAGCTTGGTAGGGTCATCTCGTTCCAGAAGTAGGATGATGGCGATAGCGTTACGGTGTCTTCGTCTTTGATATCGCTTGGGCTGCTGGCTGCGGGTGATCCTATAGTGTCGGCCGACTGTTGCAACGTGTCGCTTGGCGCTGACATGGCCGGTGGTGTGTAACCAAGGCTGGTCGAGAACTGGGCTTGCGGCTGGCTTGGCACGGGGCTCAGTTGCTGTGGCCAGTCCCTGGGCAACACCATTGGTACCTGGGGCATGGTCGCCATATCCATACTCTGTTGGAAGCTCATCTGCGTTGGTGTGGGTGTTGCCAAGCTTTGTTGCATTGGGCCGAAGTTCAGGTTGTGACCGGCTTCCGCTCCGTAGCCAGATTGATGAGGGTAGGTAGGCATGTCGTAGAGTGGTGGAGGCATCCCTCCGAAGCCGCCATTGTACTGGAAGTGTGCCATGATCCTGACATATTCCATCATCGTAGCGTTATTAGGATGGGCTGCGCATCCAAAACAGCTACATGACTCTCCGCAGTGGCAGTTGTGTTCGGGGACGTGTTGACCGATATGAGGACTTGCAACAGACGGTGACATGGGAGGGTTCGTTGACGGGCTCATCGATACGGAATTTTGGCGATGATAGGCTGCCGCTGCATGGTTATAGATTGGAGTGCCGAGACCGAAGGGGTTCGGTGCAGGCGATGGTATTTGCGCATGGAAGTTTTGGTACTGTGGGATCACCGCTTGAGCTGGAAATTGGAATTGATGTCCCATATGTTGATAAGCGTGTGACTGATCGTTGACGGGTGCATCTTCCTGCTTCGTTGAACAGCAAGACTTCTTCTGCACTGGCGGCTCTGGAGCTGGTTTGGCTTTGGCTTTGCTGCCACAGCAGCCTCCTTGTGTTGGCGCTGGTGCTGGCTTGGCTTTGCTACCACAGCAACCTCCTTCTTGAACTGGCGACAGAACCGGCTTTGGCTTGCAGCAACTTGAGACGGGCTCGTTTTGCGCTGGGAGTAAACGTGGGGTTGAGCTTGCACTCGAAGGAAGTGACGCTGCGTTGCTGCCACTTGTCTCCGAGGGCGTATACGTGATGGAAGAGGCATCAGTCTTGGCGTCAAAGCCAGCCTGGATGGCCTTCTCGAGGTTGTACGGGGTGACGGCTGCAGACTTACGCCTGCCTTTTTGGATTCGACTATTTCCTGCAACAGTAGCTGTGGGTGCAGCTCGTTCCGAAGGGCAAGCACATTCAGACGCTTTGGGAATTGTGTAGTTGATGACGACACGTTCGCAACTGCATGAGCCAGTCGGATGTGGACAGCTACTCAAAGGTCGACCCGGCTTTCGAACCTCGACAAGCACTCGATCTCTGTGGTCGCATTTCGACGAGCGATGGCCGCGGATGCACGGACCGCTATTGAAAGTCAGTTAAAGTGCACAGCGAATGAGCAGCCTGCGCAATGCGATGCAAGCCGCAGTCGCTAAAAGGTTTCTCGGGTACCTGCTGTATGTGCGTAACAAATAGCGAAGACAAGAGGGTAGGACAATGCAAAATGAGGACCAAGACGAATAAGCGGGAGTACCTACCAGGCGACCTTCTTGCGCTCTCCATTGACTTCGGCCCACATGATGCGGGGCTGATATGAGGTCGAAATAACTTGCTCAATCCGCGGCAGGTTACCACCAAATGCGCCGTGTATCGGGGACGAAGTAAGACTGCTGATGGAAACAGCTTTTGTCCAAGCTTACTGTACACCGCGCACGTGAAAGTCTTGCAGAGGGGTGAGGTGGCGTACGGCACGGAAGACAGTGCAGTGGCAAGAGTCTAGGCTAAACGTACGACTCTCGTTGGATAGGAAAGTGGCCGACAGGCTTGAATGTGGTGCGATGTAACTATCCGAAAGAGAAGGTAGACTCGGTACTGGGCTTGGCTAAGTGATCTGTGAAGGGTCCAGCTCCGAGCGCCTGGAGCGTTGATAACCCTGAGCGCTGCCACCGGCTTCCCACAGTGTCGGTGATAATACTGTATAAGCACAGGCGTTGGTTGATGCAGTAGCGATCTTGAGCGCGAAACGGATGAATGGTGGATCGTATGCAGGCGGGCGCACGTCGGAAATGCACACGGCAACAGCGGCAGGGTCCTCAGTTGAGAGCCGGCGGAATCAGGGCGCCGGTTGTACTGGATTCCTCCCAGGATCCGGTCTGGAGAAATATTGCCTTGACAGGGCCCAGCGTTGGTGGGGACGTGAGATACCAGTTCAAAACCGCAGAAAGAACACCGCCGTCACCTCTCCCCACTAGACGGATGAATGACTCGGGTCTCCAGGTGTCAAGGCGTGGGATCTGCTGGTCGGCGCTCGAAGGTTTGTCGTGAATTGAATGGATGCGACGTTTGGCGGAGGGTTGAATTAGGCTTAGTGCCTTAGCGTTGAGCAAGTTTCTTACTAAGCGGTCTTAGTCGCTTCAGGGCGGCACAAGCAGAAGGTGCGATGATGGAGAAATAGATGCCAGGCGCTGTTTCATCGGTAAAGTAAGTGGAGGATTCATCGGTAAAGTAAGTGGAGGAAGTGTCGAGATAAAGTACGTGCAAGACGGGAGTTATGGAAACGTGACCTACGGAGAGCAGCACCTGTGCCTGCTCAGATCATGGTCAGAAGAACCGTGGAAACGATGCTGCGGCCGCCGGGTATATCACTGGAGCGTGGGGAATCTGGCGCCGAGCGGACCCTGGCGCGCTCAGATGAGTACCGCGATAATTCAATCGGTGTGGGCGCGATTGGTAGGCCGTGGTATACTTGAGGCGTCGCTCGAAGCCACCTGGATCACGTCCCACGCCATCGGGCTGGTGCAACGCTCGCTGCCACAGCCAACGAGTGAGCGGCAGACCCTGCGGCCGTTTGCAGCGCATCCTGCCTGGTCAGCCTTCAGACCCCGTTGATGACGGCGATCCGCTGTTTCGAAGATTGCGGCTGTCTGGAACGCAGCTGAGATAGGAAAGGTGGTGGCTGGTGATCTAGGCACGTGCCACTTGTGGCTCCGCTCTTCGAACACCCAAAATACAATCTTCGCCAAGACCATTGTTTCGTCACAACCTTCCTTGCATCATGTCCTCAGAAGCCGACGAGGAGAGCCTGGACCTGTTCCAAGAGCCTACCGACTTCTATGAACCAGAAAAGCAGGCCACATTCGCGTCTCATCAGCTGCTTTCCGGCAAAGAGCTCACTGTTCGTTTGGTCGGTCACAACCCTTTGTGGGTAAGTCATGCACTTGATGCCCGACATGCCGAAGCACTGTGTGGAACTTGTCAACGCCACCAGTATTGGCTTCCGTTCTTCTAGAAGACTTCTAGAAAGCCCGTAGAATTTCGAAAATGCTTCGATACATTCACTGACTTCTGACGTACTTGAGCTGCGCCTGGCACGTTCACTGACGTATCCAGGGGCACTTTCTATGGAATGCAGGGCGCACTATATCTGAATATCTGGAGGAGAATGCGAAAGAGCTGGTAGAAAACCGGACGGTTCTCGAGCTTGGCGCCGGAGCAGGACTTCCAAGCCTTGTCTGTGCTCTCAACGGTGCCGCTCAAACGGTCGTCACGGACTATCCCGACGCTGAGTTGGTCGAAAACCTGCAATACAATGTCGACCATTGCGAACTACTTCCTAAGCCACCCAAGATTGTGGCGGAGGTTTGTGACTGTGCTCAGCCTTGGCAAACATCACTAATGTATGTACAGGGGTATCTCTGGGGTGCACCTACCAGTAACTTGACGAAATACCTTACTGATGGTTCGGGCTTTGATGTCCTCATTCTGGCCGACCTTCTTTTCAACCACTCGGAACATGCCAAACTCATCAAGACTGTCCAGCTCACTCTCAAGAAATCGCCGAACTCCCGAGCATACGTCTTCTTTACACCATATCGCCCATGGTTGTACGAGAAGGACTTGGCTTTCTTTGATCTGGCCAAGGAAGCGGGCTTTACCGTCGCTAAGACGTTCGAGAAGGTCATGGATAAGGTCATGTTCGAGGAAGATCCTGGTGTGAGTCTTGCGGATCGCTTTATTTGTAGACGTCACTGACCAAACTTAGGATGAACTTCTTCGCCGGACTGTCTTCGGCTACGAGCTGACTTGGAACGTATAAGGCTTGTTCTCGGAGTAGTAGCGAGTAAAGCACAATGTTTCCCGCAGGCCAGATTGATACGTCATGGTACTCGTCCGCTATATGTGAGTACCAGTCCTGAAGCAACAGAACTTTGGTACGCAACTGCTCAGTTTTGTTTAGAGAGCCTTTCGCAGTTTTGCCATCGCATCTCACGCCATAGCCTTCCCCAAGTAAGATTCGTATATCCGACTACAGTAAGTCGTGTTTGATTTTGAAGACGTCCGGCAAACATGCATAGGATCGACTTTGCGGGGTTTCAGACATGTAGCGGTACGCGTATAGTATGCATCATGCCTTTCCAGCCTCTACCCTGCATATCTTGTTCACTAATTCTAACACATCCCCTTTCTACGCGACATTGTGTACGTACTCCGTTACAGTCTCACATCGTGCGTTGCGGGAGGGTGAAGAGGGCTCTGTTGCACAAAACACTGTGACTTCTTCTATTGTATGATTGTACTGATAGACTCACTAGGCACGCAGAACAGATTCACTTCCCGCTGGGTATGCTGCGATATGCCAACACACCGCGCGAAACACTGTTCACTCCGTTCAACATATGCCTAGGCGAAGTTCCTCAGTATGTGACATAGGCAACACCTCACTCCCTAAAGGCGTATCACGATCAGCGCTCTAGATTCATCACCCAGTCTTACCTCTGCTCAACTAATCTCATGGTCGTGTCAACGCTCGAGTCCCGAGTGGCATCTCTGAGCCTGGGCGGCTGTGTCGGGTGGCAAAGTTGGACTGATCTAGTATTTCCAGTGTCTCCCATTGCCCCTTCCCCAGCTCCTGACACATATAGCTTAGAAGATGCATCCGACCAAGGCGCAAGCGATGCAGTGGGGTTGAGAGGTGGCGTCAAGGAATACACGCTACCCTCACTCCCAACTCGTGTGGAGCAATTGATGAGGAACTTGCCTATCAAAGGCCAGCGTCCTCTCCTGCAACACATCTCACGCCATCCGATGACCCTAGCTGATGTCGAGGCCTTGGTCCCTGCACTCATCGATAGACACAAGATCATGGATCAGCTAATCGCGAACATTGGCTACTTCAACGCTAGAGGCTTGATATCGTCTTCTGACCTCGAGCACATGCTTATCCATATCCTCGCTGTAGGTGACGAACAGCATTACCTATACGAAACAACACAAGCCCGGATTGAACTAGAACGCCTCCGCTATCAACACTACGAGCGCATACAGCGCCAAAACCGGATGAAAGACATAAAAGGTTTCAAGAAGACGGGAAGAATTAGGAGCGATGTTCAGCATTGTGAGTCTATTGGCGACTTTTCTCGTTCCAGGCTGCACAGTGGGCCGGGCCTAACGGATCGGAAATATCCCAGGGTCCGGCTCCCGCGAAATGACACGCGACAGGTGAGCGTGATACCCAATCTGTCATTTTCGAAATTGAACACGGAGGTCGAGCACGATGATGTGTGGAAGAGAACTGGATCGACTCCTGACTTTCTGTGTGGGAGGAAAGGGAGGAGCGACAAGATTGTCGTGAAGCTTCCACCCAAAGAGCCTTCATCCCAAGCCCAAACTCCGCCTCAGCGTCGAAGACGAAGAAAGCAGTCTAGAATACCTTGAATCATTGAAAATAGCAAGATTGGTGAAAGTTGACCTCAGTGATGAGCGATGCATGCTTGTGAGGTTGAAGTGTTTGCGGGGGCTAGCGCCGTTGACCGATAGAGCTTATCCATTGCCGAGGTTCCTTGACGCTTCACAACTCCTCGACTGCCGGCCATGATGACGCGCTACAAACCACCATGATAGCCTCATAGCGATGCTTGCCATCTCTATCAACATCTATCTATCATGACCTCCTCAAAGCCACCGAAAGCCATTCTCTTCGACATCGGCGGGGTTGTCGTACGTGCCTCCTTACACTGCCACCTGCCCAACCATCCATCACTATGCGCGACAGGACCACGTTAGCTAACGTGTCTCATTACAGGTCATAAGCCCCTTCCAAGCTATCCTCGATTATGAAATCGAGAACAAAATTCCAAACGGCTACATAAACTTCGCGATCCAGAAAGGCCCTCACGACACCGGCGCATGGCAGCTCATCGAACGCGGCGAAGTCGAACTCAACGACGACTGGTTCGCGGCCTTTAGGAAGCAGCTTATGCGACCGGAGGTATGGTCGCAATATCTCCAGAAGGTTGCGCAACAAGAGAGTGTCGGTGGAGGACAAGCAATTGATGGCGGGAAACCACAAGTACCAGACATCGACGCGAAGAAGCTATTTTGGCGTATGATGAAGATCAGCCGAGCTCCGGATCCATACATGTACCCTGCGCTGCGAAAGCTAGGCGAAAGCGGAAAGTTTGTCCTGGGCGCGTTCAGCAACAACGTTACCTTCCCCTCGGGCATTCTCGACGACGAAGGGAAGCTCTTCACCAAAGAGCTCATCCACGCACCGGCACCGAACCCCTACGCGAACGACTCCACAGATATCACAACCTGCTTCGACATCTTCCTTGGCTCGGCGGCGGTTGGTGTCAGGAAGCCGGATCCGGAGGCATACAAGTTGGCGGTACGGGAGATGGACAAGATCGCGAGGAAGAAGGGGATGGGAAATGTGACGGAAGGTGACACGCTCTTCTTGGACGACATCGGCATAAATCTGAAGTTTGCGAAGAAGACCGGACTAAGGACAATTAAGGTGAATCTGGGCAAGACGAAGGATGCTGTGAAAGAGCTGGAAGAGGCGGTTGGCATACCATTGTTGGACGAGAAAGCTAAGCTATGAATGTTGACATGAGTTCCACCTGCTTCAGAGGTCACAGGCCTCCTTAGCCTCCAAATCCGCCATTCTCTTATGCGCTGCACTCTCCACCAACCTGATGACAGCCAAAAGTGCAGACTGACGACTTAGCCCTTCCTGAGGCGCAATGAGGAACTTTCTTTCTGGGGTAACTGATTTAGTGTTCCAGCCAATGACGCACGCGCGGAACTTCTCGATGCCCTCTCCTCTGCTTTCGTATCTACCCATAAGGAGCAGTGGGTCTAGGTCCGGGCGATACGTGGAGGTGATTAACTCTGTGATCATGTTAGTGTGATGTCAAGGGTTGGTGAGGAGAGTAAGGTGTTGTACTGCTGAGATAGCTCAAGTGGTTCTCATCGCTATCCAAGAGAGGCGTAGCAGGTACGCTGGGAGGTGCTGGGACGTGGGGGCGACTCTCGTTGCTCGATTCATGTGCCATGGTACTCATGAAGATGACGGTCTGCGGAGCTTTATTGGATAGCTGCCTCTCAAGGCTATGTATCGGTCGGGCTGCTTGCTCTCTGACATCGCAATCGTCTTCAAGAAGCTTTTGTCATAGCAAAGCAAGCTTTATATTTTGCTGCTGTTGACAATTATAGCAATCGGAAAAGCAGTCACCAAGTATAAAAGACGCACGAGGTTCTCCTCTAGTACAAAAGATCACCGCCACTCCTATTCTCTTCTACTGCCTCTCGCTCCAGACATGACCATCCTCCCAGTATCGCAGGCAGACGTCAATACTCTCACATACATCAACCTCCTGGTTAAAGGCATCTTTCCGTTCCCCCACCCGTCCGCATCTGTGAAATTAGGCTGTCTGAAGAACGAGCTAGGAATTGTCGAATATCGTGCAAGGGTCATTTCTTGTTATCACCATCGGTTTGACACCTCCAGCGGAAAAACCGTAAAGCTGATGGCGGATCTCATCGAGGTGCAGGTAGCAGATTCGCGGAGTGAGGTGCTGTTGAAATTGCTAGAGGCAGTGGAAGATTATGCTGGAAAAAGAATAATGTTCCCGCCAGTACCCGTCGACAGAGAGAGCGAAGAAGACTACGCTGAAGAACAACGACCGGAAGAGCCCGAGGAGAATGAAGACGAGTAGGACTTTAGGAAGATAATGCAGAAGATGTCCTGGGGAGCCCGAGAGGGGGAGTATGATTTGTTGGAATCACAACAGATCACGCAGCAGTAGGGGTTTCGAGGAAAATAATGAAACGAGGGATCTGGAAATGATGGTAACCGTAACAGATGGTAGTCCACGAAAAGGGCGGTAATGGGAGAACTTATCGCGTATGCAGCCGCTCTTCTAATCTGGAGGATTGATCCATGCAACGTAGAAACACAAGCCAGCAAGATACCCCATTTGCATTACTCAGTCAAGCAGTCTCGCATACTCCAAGAACCCTTGTGATCAGGAACATGACTCATCCCCCCGAAAGCACCCTTACACCTTGTGCAAAGAAAAGGCCAAAACATCTTAGGGCCCACATTGACGTTTGGCTACCTACATCGCAACTTTATATCTTAATGTAGGCCACAGACCTACTTAGGGCCCTTGATTGTATGAGGTGCTCACCCCCTCTCACCCCTCCCCACACTCCCGCTCCCAACAGAGCCACCCCCATCCCTCGCCGCCTTCTTCTTCTGATAGTTATCATCATTCAGCATCATCCTTCCAATCTCCATCTCCACAACCCCCAACAAATGCTCCAGGGCTTCTTTCCTGCTCCCACCCATTTCCGGCCCCAGTTCGAGGCTTCTGACCCCGCCTTGTTCGATGCTGTAGAGGGAGGCGCAGAAAGCGAGAGAGGGGTCGACGGCTTTTGGTTTGGAGGTGGAGTTGGCGGAGGCTTTGGTTGGGGGGTGGCGGCCGAGGATGCAGGAGGGGGGTTTGAGGGGGGAGAGGATCCATGATTGCGCTGAGGTGGGAGGTGAGTGGTTAGATGGGATGGAGCTGGAGGGTTTTGGTGCTTACTTTCGATTAAGTCGATGAGATATCTAATCTCCGTTTCGTCTTCACCTCGCAGGTTTGGAAGGGGCTCACGAGGTCGACCGAGGCGCTCAGGCATGCTTGCCGCCAATGAATCCATCTGTGTCTTGAGTTTTACTACTTCGATATCGAGACAAATGGCAAATAGAGACGGTCTATTATGGCGAGAAACCGGTGAAGAAGCCGCGTCATCTACTAGGATCAGTGGTGTACCAAGTTGTTTGTCTAGTTGTACAATGAGGCGGGAGGGTGAACAGGTGGGTGAGATCATTTGCAGAAGCAAACTTTGTGGAACCGTCGAAGCGATTCGATACGATTGCACACCCCACATACGAGACACTCATAAGAATACGCGATAGATAGATGATGTCTGATACGTCACTTGTATGAGGTCGGCTAAGATGTGCGGTATCTACGTCAAAAGATGATTTTATCATGCCTAGAGTGTATATCGCTACTGACGAGCACTAACACGTTTAGGTGCAAAGCTCATCCAATCTCAATACAAAAGCTTCTTCCGTTCTTCCTCTCTCCAATCTCCGTACAAAGTTCTTGCTTCTATCGTGCGTCTCTTAAATCACCTCGTCCATCTGTTCCATCATTCGTCGCCCCGGTCGCCGCCTCTCGAGCCGCGCGCTCTGCTCTTGCCCTATCCCTAGCAGCCCATCCGTTGTAGACATTCTCCCAAAAGTCGACTCGATTCTTTTCCCGAATCTTCTGCGCCGCCCACCCCTCCAAGCTGCGCAACAGTCCTAGCAGTGCTTCTTCCCTTGTCGATCCCTTATGTGGCCCAAACGACCCAAATGCTGCCCATACTATCGAGGTATCTTTGGTTGAGGTAGCAGCAAGGTTAGTCAGATATCCATCGGGACCGAAAGCGTTATAGCTTGGATAGACGACGATGGATGATTTGAATTCATCGCCAAAGAGGCTATCGGCTAGCATCTTCACATAGCTAAGAGTGCGGTGATCGGCTTCGGTTACGTGTTTGGCCATGACTGTGGAGTTCACTTCCATAATGGCTTGGAGTTTTGGTGAGTTAGCTAAGACAAGGCGAAGTACGATGTTTAGATAGTGAGATGTTGGGACGATTTGCTCGTCATGGCAGCAAACGCAAACCAAACGTACAGAATAATCTCCGATATTCCAGCGACGGAGAAGCCTGCAGATATTGAAGACGACTTTGCGACAGAAAAGGATGTTCCAAGAGAACGAGAGTCAAAAGCACGGCCCATGCACCGCCTGCTCTGTCATAGCGTGTTGATGTTGAACAGACGCCCAATAAGGAGCGCTCCACCCTTGTGGCGCATATGCAAACACCCGATTTTGATTTCCAATCACTTCTCAGCTCTTCACCGACTTTCTTCCTCGAACTTGCTACTGCGTTCTCCGATCTGATTGACATGATGACGCCGGTGATAGTTGCTGTAGCAGCTGCGTCGGTGGTCGCGCTCATGATACAATATCTTTCTTGCCGACAAAAACGCCTCGTAAGTACAGACTATCACCCACACACCCCTACATACCTAAAGACGTGGAGGCAGACCAAGTTATTAGCCACCGCCACGGATGCCTTCCAGCCCCCAGACTGAAGAACCATAGGCCCTTTGGTTTTGATCGACTTGAGCAGATCTTTCGGGCAGATTCTGAATCGCGGATGATGGAACAGTTCATGTCCTACTTTCGGCAAGTGGGAAACACACTGAACTACAAGCTTCTGGGGATGACGACGTATGCAACGATCGAGCCGGCTAATTTGGAGGCTATGTTGTCGACCAATTTCCAGGGTGGGAATCGTGACCGATGAAGTTCCTGAGGTTCCGATGGGCTGACTCGCAGATAGATTTTGGTCTTGGGCCTCGACGAGCTATCCTGTATCCGGTGTTTGGTGACGGTGTCTTTACGCAAGAAGGTGCTGACTGGAAACACTCTCGGGACATGCTGCGACCGCAACTACAGCACAAGCACTATGATGACCTTGAAATCTTTCAAGACGCGGCCAATGATCTCATCCAGTTGATTCGGAAGAGTGACCGGATCGTTGACCTGCAACCGCTCTTCTTCCGCTTGACTCTCGACACTACGACAGCGTTCTTGTTTGGCGAGTCGACTCGCAGTCTTCTGTGCCCTGAGATTGTTGGGGAGCGGAATTTTGCCAATGCCTTCAATTCCGCCCAACGTTGGGTCGTCGAGAGATATCGATTTCAGGACCTGTACTGGATTATAGACGGTAGAGGCTTCCGAAGAGCTGGCCGAGATGTTCGTGAATTTGCGGACAAGATCATCGATCGGAATCTTCCATCGAATCGATGTAGAACCGACGGTGAGGGAAAACAAGTCTTTCTGGATGCTGTTGAGCAGCGTACCTCGAATCGAGCTGCATTAAGAGGTCAGATCATCAACCTGTTGGTCGCTGGAAGAGATACCACGGCCTGCCTTCTTTCCTGGACATTGTGAGTTGCGCTTCCCGGTGTGACTGGACCCGGCCTAACATGAACAGCTTTCTACTCGTACGCCATCCAAACGTGATGAAAAAGTTGCGCAAGGAAATCTCATCAACCTATGACGCAAACTCGAAACTGAACCGCGATAGCCTGAGAAAGATGCAGTATTTGCAAAACGTTCTCAAAGAAAGTACGTTACAATCCCAGTAGTTTCTCTCGAATATGATGCTTACCTTGAGACTAGCTCTGCGACTATACCCATCTGTTCCTGTCAATATTCGTATGGCTACAAGGACCACGGTGCTTCCCACAGGCGGCGGCCCGGATGGCAACTCCCCAGTCCTCATACCTAACGGAAGCCCGGTAGCCTTCAGTGTGTATGCGATGCATCGACGGCCCGATCTCTTTGGACTGGATGCAGAGTTATTTCGACCAGAAAGGTGGGACGAAGACATGCCTCTGCAGCATGATCCAACGAGTGCGAAATGGGGATATCTTCCCTTCCACGGTGGACCGCGGACCTGTTTAGGCAGTAAGTTCCGACGCTGGCTATGCGACTGAATGCGGCTAATCTAACGTGCGTCTATTTAGTGGATTTCGCGCTGACGGAAGCTGGATACATTGTTGTACGACTTCTCCAAAGTTTCGCGAGTATCAAGCTTCCCGACAGAGAAGCCGTTGAGCTGGTGGGTGTGGAGAAGCAGGTTGCGACACTATTCATTTCGATCAAGGATGGCTGCAAAGTTGAGATCAGTCAGTAGTCAGGCGCGTTGGTGACTGGGTTTCTGGTGATGAGAAGTGATGGAGATGTCGTCATCGCAGATGCCCATCCGGGCAGGTGCACCTGTGCCTTTAATCTGATTAGCGCGCGGCGCTAGTGAGGACCCTGACTTCTCGACCGGCAGGTACTACGCACCACATCTATCGAGCATGATATGCACTGCTTAACCATTCTTCTATGCCTTCATATCTACCAAGGCTTCTGTGGAATAAACTCTACCCCAATTTCTCTGGCGATATCTTCCATTGTCAAAGCTTCTCCTGCAGCTGAGACCAGCCCTGTTCCGCTCTCCGCTCTCCTCCTAGCTTCTTCATACGCTGCTTCGCAACTCACCAAGTTCTTCCTCTTCCGTTCGTTTTCTTCCACATCATCTCTTTCCTTGTCGCTTATGATCACGTCGAGTCTCCAGGACGCGATTTCCTCAAGCCTCTTCCGCACGGCTTCTAGAACACCAATCCGAGTTTTGGCTGTTTCGACCTGCGAGAGTAGTCGTCTCTTGACACTACCCGAAGACTCTATTTTTGACTCTACTACAGCGGCACGATACCGGTAAGAATCCCTTTCAGTGCTCAAGCCGTGGGAAACGTACAATTTGCCATTTGGATAGACGGCGTCGAGAAGCTTGATTACGACGTAGAAGGTCTGGAACTCGAGGTCTGTGATGCTACTGGACATCGGTGCTGGTCCCGGGTTGTTAGATAGCGTAAGTGTTGGAATGTCAGCATGCGTGTGCGTGAAGTTATATAAGTAGAAGGCAGGTATAAGTTTGTCTACCAGATCAGTGATCAAACTTAGCATCACCCAGCCAACTTAATCCCAGTCTCATGATAGCCGCACAGGTACTTGCAGCAGAACAACATGTCATATATGTAACACACTACGAAGTCTGCACATCACCCTGACCGCCCCTTGTCCCTTCCTTCAACTCTCTATCCTCTCGCTTCGCTCTTGCCTTCACCCGAACTGGTGAAGAGTCCTCACTTGACTTGCGTTTACCAGACATTTCCGCGTCCCCCTTCTCTATAGACTGGTCGGTGTCTAGCCGGGGCTTTTTATCAGAACCTCTTCCCCCTGGTGCTTTCCCCTTTCTCTTCCCCCCCTCGTCTTCCTCTTCACTGGATGGTTCCATGGCATCAAGTTCAGCATCAAGTTCAGCATCCCTAGCCCGCCGTTCCGCCTCGATTTGCTCAAAGTTATCGTGCACGTAGTCCTCCAGATCTCCCAAAAGTGTGTCTAGTGCACCGACGCGTTTCTTCGCATTACCGCTAGCCATGATGATTTCCTTCATCACCTTGCCTTCATACTTCGCTACCCCGGCGTGGTAGCTTATAACCTTGCCGGCTAGGTTCTTTTCACGGGCGACATACAATCTGTGCCCCGGGAACACTTGGCGGATGAGTTTGGCGATGAAGTAGAAGGTGTTGTACTCTGCGGCCGTGATAGGCATGCCCGCTGATCTTGATTTCGTGGGATCTTCGTCGATTATCGGGAAAGGGCGGGTGTGTGAGTTCAACCTGATTAGCATGCGACTGCGCAGAGTTATATTACTACAACTGTACAAGTTTGCTTACCTGGTTAGTTACCAGAACCAGCGAGACGTAACTACATGCTTACAGCTAGTCTTCTGACAGCAAAACAAGTACATAAGACAGTGAACCGTCTTAATGTCTAGTATACCGCGAATCGTGCACACGAACTCAGACCCTTCTACCAACATACCACCAACATGTCCCAACCATCTCCCACATCCGCAATAACCCCCACAGACGAAGCAACCTACAACTACCTAAAAAGTACGCCTCTTTGCCGTTTGATCTCCCTAGAACTAACAACCACCCAGAGCTCTGCGCCCTCTTCTTTACCCCGGACGATCACGAAATTTTCATCGGCCGTCACCAACCCCGCAGCGCCGTCGAGCCCTTCCGCTGTGTCGTTCTAGGCATCAGCGACGATAACGAACTCCAGTTTGGTACCGCGCCCCAAGAAGGACGTACGCGTCATGAGGCGATGATGAAGACAATCGAGTTGTTGGAGACAAAGGCGCAAACGGTTATGGCGAGGGTTGAGGGGAAGAATGCGAGCTGGGTGTTGGCGAGGGAGATGGCGAAGAAGAAGATGAAGGAGAGGGAAGAGGAGGTCAGGAAGAAGAGGGCGGAGGCTTGGGTGAGAAAGGAACAAGAGGCCAGATTAAAGAGGCTAGAAGAGGCAGGCGCGAAGGCAGAGGAGGGGGAGACCGAAGCGGATAATGAGGATCGGAACCCTGGACTTGAGCTATACTATACTGTTGTACACGAGAGCTAGAATCTGCACCCAGCGTGGCGTATCAGCAGAAACCAAAAGCCATGGATAGTAATATCTCCATTCATCAAGAGACTAGACATAAACTCCATTCCTATGCAACAAACGCCATGCTATGCAACATTGAAATGTACATATCAACATAACCAACATGCCTTCGTATCCGTTATATTCGCCATATGTTACGTCCCCCAATCATCCCATTCACCGTTTTTCCGCGGCCGTTCCCGACTTGTGCTTTTCTTCGCTTTTGGTGCTGGGTCTAAGAACCCGTCTGGTATATCGTTCCAGTTTTGCGTTCCTTTCGGGGGTGCAGATACGGTTTGCGCCTTTCGTGCTTTTCGTTGGTCTACCGCTTGCTCGTCGCTGGAGACCTCGTAATCGTCGTCTTCGTCTTCGGATATGTAGTTATATTGGTCGAACTTCCTCCTGTCGATATTTTGCAGCTGTACGTCGCCATCGGCGTACATGCCGCGTTCTCTTCCTAGTATTTGGTCGGCTTTGTTCGGGCTTCTTCGCCCGTCGATTGGACCTTTGGCGATGCCGTTCGAGGGGGTGAGGTATTGAGTCGGCTCGCCTGGACGAGTGGGTGCTTGCCACTCTGGTCGTCTTGTGGCTCGCGGTGGAGGCTGGTTGTATTGGCCGGGCATCCACCCACCCGGACCGCGAGTGGGTCGTGTAAACTCTGCTTCCGTAGGAGTATCCACACCCCAACCGGCAGCGCGCTCACGCTGCTTTTGTATTTGCTCTTCCCTTTCTCTTTCACGCTTTATCCGTTCCCGAGCTGCCAGCCACTTCGGACTGGGCTCCCACGACCATCCGTCTCCAGTTGTTGTTACCAGTGGCACGAACCACTTCAACGGCGAAGGCCCAAATACATGTCCGATGTTGCGCTTCCAACCCAGATCGAATGCGTTCGGTAGCATCTCGTTGTCGCGCTCGTCAAGGTAGCTGTCGTAGCGGTCTTGGTTCTGCTGGCGTTCTCGATATTCGTAGGATTGGTAGTGCGGGTGGGAGTAGCCGTTCGCGTGGCCTGGGACGGGAGAACGCGATGCGGAGCGCGAAGGCTGCTCACCCTCCTCGGGTCTGGTCACTCCCGGGAGAGCGTTCGCATGGATCTCGCGCAATTGGTCGCCAACGCTCAAGCGACCGTTTGCTTGCGCCTCGACATAGTTTCGGTCGTTGAGCTGGTGCTTCATCGTGCTTCGGAGTGGTGAGAGGTAGCGGGTCTTCTCCAAGCTCTCGATCGTAGTCTGGCCCCTGACTGTAAGCCACAGATGCCATGCAGTGAAGCCTGTTATGACAATTCCGATGATACCAGACAGAACAGCGAGCAAGACGTAATTGACAGGCATGAACGACTCCGTGTATTGTCCGTCACTGAGGATTTCGCTCCAGACCCAAGTCGCAGATGTCGCAAAACACACCCAGCAGAAGAAGGAGAGATATGTCAGGAACAGGACGAAGGCTTTGTAGTTGCGCAAGCCAACGCAAGTGGCGAGCCATGGGCAGTGGTGGTCCATCTTCAAGACGCAGCGCTTGCATGTGGAGCAGTGGTGGGAGCGGTCGGGCTTCTTGGACTGGCACTTGTTGCAGAAGCGGAGTTCACCGGTCGATGCCTTCACAGTGAAGGACGTGTACTGCATCTCTCCTCCCTCTTGCGACGGCAGATGGCTGTAGCCATTTTTGATATTGAGCGGCGATCCGGGGTCGGTGAATACGGCGGTGGTGTAGCTCCAGTTGAGCATGAGATAGAGGAAGACGCCGAGGGCAGACGAGAACTTTCCTATGCGACGTGTCAGTAGTCGCGTCCAGGCATTTGTTCAAAATGGTCTCATTGGACATGGGGCAGATATGCATTGATGTATTGTACAGAGGGAGACGCACCCGTCCAGACATTCTTCGAGGGGACAAAGCCGATACCAGCCTGCACCCACACGGCCCACGACGTCAGGCCGTAGACGAAGAGCAGCGGGAAGTAGGTGACGGCGGTGCAGCAGTAGCGCTCCACCTTCCTGGCCCAGCCGCGGCGGCGCATGGTTCGCGAGGGGGAAGTCGGGGGAGAGGGCGAGCCCAGCGTGGCCATGTCTATGGGCTGGCTGAGTGGGCGGGCATGTGGTGCGGTGGGTTGCGAGGGGATGTTTGTGCCTGGGGTCACCCCGTTTAGGCGCAGATCGAGGACGGGCGGCCTGGAGAAGGGGAGGCTGCGGAGGACAAGCAGCCGGCGCACGACTAGTTTCAGGGTGCAGCGGCGCACAGCATGACACAAACTAGCAGGGCGGACTTGGGGGATGGAATAGGTAATGTAGTGCTGCAGAAACAAGTCGTGCAGGGTCACGGGGTGTTGTCGTCCAATTCGTTGTCTAGTCGTGTCTGGTCGTAGTCATCAATAGTCGTCGTAGTCCAATGTTGTAAGCGTCGGCGTCGTAATCGGTGGTTGAGTGAGGCGCATGATGGGTAGCGCAGAGGGTAGCGTGTCCCAGAGTACGCAGCTCACATCGACTCGGCACGCCGACCACGTGACGCCGTTGTTGGGACCGCCAACGCGGACACGGTACGTATGCATGTCATAAAACAAAAAGTCAGCCGCAAGGCTCAAGCACGTCCGGACAGGTGGCAGGTCGGACGCGCCTTTCAATTTTGGAGTACTTCCACTTTTGGAGGCGTCTGGGTGCTGTCGCCCGTTTCAACTGCGCCGTCGCACACTCAGCCTGCGACGGCCGCGTCCTCTACAAGCTATATCCACCCGGGCGAGCGTAAAATAACGGCAATCCCGGGTGCATGCGCGATAATCTAAGGTAGCCTGATACAGTGGTTACAAGACGCAATGTCGGTGCCACACCCCGGCATGCTCCCGTATTGCTCCCGCCGCAACCTGCGACATTTAGACATGGCCCTCGCCCAGCGCGATCTGCTTCGGTCCTGCCACACAACGTCCTAATGCCTACTTTGTTCTTGCGATAGCGTGCCCCCACCTCCTCGACTTCGCGGACATGTCTAGCAACTCCCCTTCAACAGCAACAACTTTTGGCCCATTACCTTAGCTAGACATGCTTGCCTCCAGGAAGCGGCCCACGCCGCTGCTGCTGCTCTTCGTCCTTGTCCTCATCGGAATATGGTACCACAGCAGAGACACTGACCGCATATACCTGCAATGGATGTCCTCGATTGAGTCGCGCCCTGCAAAGATACCCTCCAACAAAACCCTAGGCTTCGGCGCCGTCGTAGTCGTGTCCAAGGATGGCTCCTCGCGCCGCAAGCCGCTGCTCCAAGCTGCCAATGTCACCGACATCGACCTTACCATCCCGACCCAGCCAGAATGGACAGAAGGCGACGTCCAGCGCTTCATCAACGGTCAGGAAAAGGCGCAGAAGGGATCGATACTAGCGTGGTTAGGGCACCACAACGCGCTGCGCTGGTAAGTAATATCGACGCCGGCATGCCGCCCGTCTTGGCGTGCATGCAGCCACATCGAGCAGCTGCTGATTCGCTATGATTTAGGTTTCTGGATTCAGGCCTCGAGACGGCTCTCATTCTCGAAGACGACGTCGATTGGGACATCCGCCTGCGCAGTGTCCAGATACCCCTTGCGGCAAGCGCTGCCCGACAGCTCCTTCCTCCACCACGCGCTCAACACCCGGGCGTCAACGCCGCCAGCAACCACACACAATACTGGGGCGACCAAGATGCCTGGGATCTGCTCTATCTCGGTCACTGCGGGGACTACTTTGATATTGTCACCGAGGACGGCCCAAAGACCGACCGCCAGAACTTCAACCTGAGCGCTATGCCACACATCCTATGGCAAGACCCTACGCTTCCATCGTGGATTAACCTGCACCCATTTACACAAGACCTATTCCGCCTTTTGGGCATGCCCGAGAAAACGCGCGTCATGCACCGAGCCAAGTTCCCCCTCTGCTCCTTCGGATACGCCGTCACGCGCCGCGCCGCCGAACGTCTCCTCAACGATCTCGCTCCGCCGAAACTGAAGAAGTCAGGAGCTCGCGCATTCGATGTCGCTCTTCTTCACGCCTGCAACAAGGGAGAGAACACGCCATCTCCCACACCAGAGTGGCAGAAAGCCAACCCTCGAACTCGAAGCAAATACCCGAGCCCCGGACTACGGTGCTGGACACTGAACTCCGAGCTATTCCATCACATGCCAGGGAAAAGTGAGATTGATTCAATTGGAGAGAAACTTGGCGAGGAACATAGCCTGCCGCC